GGTCTTATTATCAAGCAGATCTAGTCGATAATAGTAGTTTGATCTGTAATGGTCTCTTTACAAAAATTCGAAGCAACCCCAACTTTTAGCAAGGATAAATGAAATTATTAGACGGCTACGGCCTCAAAACGATCGAACTGAAAAGTGAAAAAAAAAAAAAATGAAAAATTAATATGAAAGTGATATAAAATAAAATAAGAATGTGCAAAAAATTATATGATAATTATTTACCATAAAGAGGCGCAACATTTTATCGAAATCGAACGATCGATACTCCCTGAGACGATCTCATTGCTTATACTAAGGATTTCTAAGCACTTAACTCAATGAGTCGAAAATAAAATTTTAATTAATCAGATACAATAAAGTGATTCGTCAACGTGTAGTTAATCCAATATTATAATGAAATGTGTAGGATATACATCCCGCAATGGATTTGATGCAAATTTATTTTTTTTAATAAATATTTTAAAATCTTACAATTTATAAAGTAATAAGTCCAAATTTTCAAATTTATTAAATTCAGCCTTAACAATCGCTAAGGCAATGTATGTAATTTTTAAACATTTGTGTTTCGATTTTAAAAAAAATTAAAACTAATAATTACTACCAATATTTTTTTATTTCGAACCGAGTGAATTTTTTAAAAGTTCTCTAACCCAATTTTTTTACATTATATTTCTTCGTTCATCAATGAAAGTTCGAAGTTTGTCTATGATTAATTCGTATCATCTGACACAACGAATGAATATAATCTATCAGATATAGGTCACCGGAGACCCAGAAAAGGGGGAAATAAAATTTTTTTATTTGCCCATTTGACTGATCACAGTCATGTGCTCAAAATAAGCTTAGGAACTACAGTAATTAACAAAATTTCATTTTTACTGACGTCCTCTCGTCTTCCTACAGTCATTGCACAAAAAAGCCGGTAGCATAATTCCATAATATCGTCATTAAATTCTTGAAAGAAATTCGATTCTGATATTTAACACATTTATTGTTTTATTGTTTTTCTCCAAACGATCGTTAAATTATTTCAGTTTATCCATTTTCACTCACTTGATCCTGAAAATTTCTCCCATATTTAACAGATGAGAAGGTTACAACCTTTTCGAAAATATTTACGTTTTCTCGCGATACCTTTAATGAAATTGTTACACAATTGGAAAGTCATCCCGCCTGCAACTAATGTAACTCCTGTGTGGAAGTAAATTGTATTATGGCGTTTAGAAAATGGAGCAGGAATAAGAACAATAAACAAATTTAAGGGATATGTTATGGAACACTTAGTCATATTACTGATAAATTCTTAGAGGCATTATTGGGCTTGGAATATAACAGAATTGCATGGCCATGAGGAGCAAGGTAATATAATGTTTTACCATCCTTCTGAGAATTGCTCACAATTTGTAAAACACAATAGCTTTCATTCTATTATTATTCTTGGAATTGTTGAAAATCAACGGCAATTTATATGTTTGCGAAGCAGGAACGATAATTATCTTTGAAAATGTACATTTAAATTAAAGTAATTTTGTATCTGCATAATAATATAAGGAACTGTACATAATGCTCTTGTATTTTGTCGTAGCATTCTCAGTCATAAGATTAAGCATGGGTAGGATCTTTGAATTTGTTAGATTTGTTTATTACATTGCTTAAATAAATTATGCGTAACTATAGAATAAATCAAAAGAGTATGCTTATGGTTCTATTGATTTCGTCATTGATTATGATATTTTAAGTACTAATCAAATCATGGTCTAATTCGTGTGGTTTTTGCTGCAGTGATCCTTATTACGTATTAAAAAATGGGAATGTACCATTCAACATTTAACGTATAGTAGAATGCTACTTTGATAAATCAATTCACGAACCATTTATTGATGTATTTACGTGCTGAACTGAAATTTTAAATACAGTTTATTAATGGTAAGTTCGACTATTTTTAGGGTATTTCAGTGAATAAGGTGCAGCAAAATTAGCAACAGACACCGTAGTTTAGAAAATTACTCTTTCAGTCAAAATTTTCGTTAATGTTTTAAATTTACAGGTTTTAATTAAAGGCTCATTAAACTAGTATAAAAATCAATTAGTATATTCATATAAGAATATGATTGAAGTTTATAATTAACGTTAAATATAAAAATTGTATAACTTTATTTGTTATTCAATTTTGATTTAATGAATCATTTTATGTTTGTAAAAGAAATATTTGCAAATTTTTAAATCCTGTAAAACTTCTTTTTTGATGTGACACCTCAAAAAACAAATAGTACAAGCTCAAAAATAGTAAATGTCAACAACCTAGTATGACATTC